GACAACTCACACCGCTCTGTATGAGAGGCGGATTGAGTGTGAATATATTGCAAGAATTGAGAGGGTCAAACGTCAAACATGCTCTTTTGAGGGATTAGAGATGTTTTTTAGACCAGAGTAATTAGATTGATCTGGGGTATATAAGACATTATTTTTATTTTTGGGTTGATGTCTCTATGTTGGCTCTTTTTTTAGTTTCTAGTATATAGCTCCCAAATGCAGGTGTTCTCAGCGGTCGCACAGTGCATCGGCTAGTATGAGATTGTTCATATTTGGGGAGATTGAGATAGAGATGTGGCTGCGTCATGCCAACTCATGTGCGAGTGAGAGATGTTAGAAATTGGGCGCCTATGTGGCATGGCCCATGACCTTTTTGAACCTATGTGGCATGACCCTTTTGAACATTATCCACGTAAGTTTTGAATTTGAATTCAAAACCTATTTGGATAATCCACTCTTGATATCTAGATCTATCATATCAACTGATATGGATAGATTGATATATATGGTTATATATTTGATTTTATATTTATATAATATATTGATATCAGATACGTTATGTGGTTTTTACCCACAATATTTTTATATACTCTCTCTCTAACTCTCTCCCATTATGAGAACGATTCAGCCTTTGCATTGTGACTTGTGTGGGTGATACTCATATTGTGGTATCACTCCACTGTTGGGAGTTCATTGTTCACATTTGATGAAGCACGTGATTTACCCACAAGATTCTTCGCTTCTAACACCTAAGGTATGATCTGAAATATTTTTCCGCTGTGTTATACTTGTTTTACACTTACCATTTATCCTTCCTATTATTATGACTTTATTCTATAACTTTCCATCATTAAATTTTACTTGAATTTATTCTTATCAAATTTTATATAGAATTTTCAAACACAATGATATAGTTTAATGTTGACTCTTCACTTTCAAACAAAACACCCATAAACATGATTTATATTTATAACAATATCACTATTTTGTATAAATTTTTACGATTTTTTTTGTATAAATTTTTATATATGAATATAATTTTTCAATTTTATGTCCACTATTATATCTAGATTAGATCAATTTAATCTAGATATATTTATAACGTATAAAATTTGTACAAAAAACTTTTAAAAAGTTCGTTGAATACAATAAAATAAGATAATGTACTTATTATTATTATTTTTTTTTGTATTTGCTGAATTTTAAAAAAATCACAAAATATTATAATTCTTAAGTATATTTTAGATGAGGTGTATCCAAAAAATGAAAAAATTACTTAAAATATTAAAAAAAAATTAGTAAAAATAAAAAAACATAAAAAATAAAAAATAAAAAATTCAATTTTTTGTGTGAGTCAAACCAAAGAAAAAGATTGTTATTTCTCTTGAAATGACATGAACAAAATATCTGTATTATTTTATATGTATAAAGGTTAAAGAGCAAATAAATCATTTTAATCTGATATGGAGATAAGTGTAATTTTTTAAATGTGAAGAGAAATCTGTATTAAACAAAAACTTCAAGTGTATCAGTGTAATTTACCCTTATTCCTTCATACCTCAATTTCTTTTTATAGTGATGGTTTTTTTGGAAAGTAACTATTTTAATTAATTTTTTAATTTTTTATAAAAAAAGATATGTAAAATAATAAAAAAAAATTAATTTTTTAATAATGACTTTTTATTTTTTAACTATTTTAAATGTTTGTGAAAACACCCATAAATTTAAATACAAAATCAAATACATTATAGGATTACTTGTACCATGTATTTTTTATAGTGAGATTCATATTTAAAAATTTATGTCATTTAATTTATATACGTGTGTTTAACTTTTGAATTTCTAACTTATTGATTTCTTTATTTACAAAAGGCTCCTAAGATCAACTATATCTAATAAAAGACCATCTTACAACTACTAATTTAATTTTCTTGCTTTACAATTAAGAAGTTAATTGCTGTGTTAGGTAACGTTTACATTTTCAGTTTATATTCACAAAAATTTTATAAACTGATTTTTGTTTATTTTTAAAAAAACATAAACTACAAACGCGTTTGGTAAATAACAAAATGTTTAAAAAATTTTAAAAATATAAAAAAGAGTGAGAAATGGCAAGTGGCAACGGAAGACGGTGATGGAAAGTGGTGACGGTGGGTGGTGGGTAGCTGGTGGTGTGGGTGGTGATGGTGATGGTGGGTTGGTGGGTGACGGTGGCGGGTGATGGGTGGTAGTGAGTGGGTGGTGGCGGGTGGTGGGTGATGGTGGCAGGTAGGTGGCGGATGGCGGATGGCAGGTGGTGGCGGGTCGGTGGCGGTAGGTGGCGGATGGTGGTGGTGGTGGTGGTGGGTGGATGGGTGACGGTGGCTAGTGGCGGGTGGTAGGTAGTAGCTGGTGGTGGTGGATTTTCTATTAAAATATTTTAAATTCTTCACCATAAAGCATAAAATAATTTATATAATTAAAATTTTGTAACATGTTTTTTTCTCTCACCATGGCCATTACTAAACGAATATATCTAACCTCGTTAGTTTCATACACAACCAATGTTAATAGGTTTTTTTTTTTTTAAGGTTACCTACCTCAACTCAATGTTTTTAAAATTTTTAATTTTTGTAATAATGAAAAATCTAAGTGTCATTATGTGTTGCATTTTAATTAATTCATAATTAAATACATAGAGTTTTATTAAGGGTGATGCACCAATAAATCCCAATTTATCAACTTATACACTGTTTAGTCCCAAATGTTATCTTATGAACCGAACGGTCCTATTATATTGGAAATGACTATTGAGGGCATATACGTTGTGGACGGCACTGGTAAGACTAATGGGCAACATTGGTAATTTAGTAATGTGAAATTACGGAGATAGGCAAGCAGTTTGGTATGCAAGACGGTGGTGGAAAATGCTGGCGGGTGGTGGCTAGTGTTAGGTGGTAAAAAAAAAAAAACTCAAAACTCAAAACGGAAACACATTTTTTGTGTTTTTATTTTTTAGACAAATTTATAAACTGAGACCACTTATTTATAAATCAAAAATTTTACCAAACAAGTTTTTATTTGAATTTTTTAAATTTTTATAAATATAAACAAAAAATTAAAAACGTAAATATTACCAAACAGCACTTAAATAGCTCAACTTTCTCACCAATTTTACAAATCAATGTTGGTTTAGACTTGGATGACTCCTAGCGAGTAAAAATTATTAGGTAATCTTGGGAATATGACAATGTTTTTACCAATCATCAAATGTCATACCTTTGTTCCTCATCACTCAACATCAAATCATAAGTTCTATTTCCTTCATCAATCATAATACCTGTGAGACACAATCTAACTATTTCCTTCATCAATCATAGAAAATTAAATGACATTTATTTACAACGATGTGACATTATTATTTTTAAAATTATCAATTTGTTTCGATTTTATGTGAAGGATCACAATATCATTTACCCTACAATAAATGGAGAAGGAAAATGATATATATTATATAAAATCGTGCTTTGAATTTTATCTCAAAAATAAGATGAATGATGTAGATTTAGAGTTGAGAAGTGAGCCACATTTAGGCCTTGTTTGGGAATTAGTTATTTTAGTTAATTTTGTACAAAAAAAAAAAATATGTAAAAAGTAAAGAAAGTAATATGATAATTTATAGTAATTTTTTGATTAAAAACCACTCTTCCCAAATTGAGCCTTAGAAAGATTGTGATCCATAAATATATTTTTTTAAAATAATTTTTAAGTATTTTTTTTTTTCTGCATTTAGTATTGTTGAAGGAAGAAAATGAAATCAAAATTTTACCAACTAGTCTTCTTCTGTAAGTACATGCAGGTGAGCATTTTTTTTCTTCATCACCAAAAGCATAAATTATTATTATTATTATTTTATAAACTAATTTCAAGAGAATATGTTTGCACCTGGACAAGTCATTTTTATAAGATTTCTTTGAATCCCTTTGAACCCCCCGGGTTTGGAATATTAGTTTGGATTGACATAATTATATAAGATAAAATAAATTATTTTAATTATATAAAATAAAATATCACATCTAAATTATAATTATTTTATTTTTTTCTTATAAAAATTAAAAGAATTAAAAAATTTATTTCAAACGAGATATTTTAAATCCAAATTAGCATAATTAAAAAATTAAAAAATGAACCCCATCCCAAGCCAACCCAAGGATTTACACCAAGAATTCTCTAGAGTGTTTTTTTTCTAAAATTTCCTAAAGTGGTGTATTGTGTGGTTGGGATTTAATACTGAAAAATTGATGTGACTTGCCATTAAATCTCAATCACACAATGCACCACCCTAGAAAATTTTAAGAAAAAAAAAAAAAACTCTAAAGAATCTTTGCTCAAGGATTTAGGGGGCATGGGCATACCTGCAAATGGGACAAATCGTACACTAAAAACAATAAGAGTGCACATCGTAATATACGATTTTTTTGTATTAAAAATTATAAATATTTAAGGTGTTATACTAATTTGTGATAAAAGTTGCCAATAATAAAACCATAATATTTTGTAGTAGTAAAAAAATTATGAAAGACAGGATTATCCAGGGGATTATTCAGTTGTCTTGAAATATGAATATATAATATTGTGATTAGTGAAAATGGTGGATAGATACAACCACGTGTTATTTCTGAATTATTGTATAATTTTTTGGAATATGCACTTTTTTAGGTGCATATTGTACTGTCGTTTGGCAAAATTTTTTTAATTGACTTCTTAGAATTATGAGTTTTTTAGTTTGGCACTAAAAATTTTTTTGGATTGACTTTCTTGATTTTTATAAAAAAATAAAAATAAAACTATAATTATTTAAATATAATATTTTATTTTATTAATTTTTTAATTTCTATTATCTTTTAAAAATTAATTTAATCACAACCCAATCCAACCCAACTGACATAACCAAACAAAGCCTGTATATCCATGCAAACATGCCGACATGCCACAATAATTTTTGTTGCATCTCACCTTCATTTCCGAACAGAAGTGATCCATTATTATAACAGCTAAGCACAAAATTCCATTTCTTACAATCTTCCAATTTACTGTAACTATATTTCATTGAAAAATGTCTGAGAGCTACAAAAAGTGTGGTTTAAATGGTTCAAAATTGTCAAAGCGACGTCGTTTTGGGCAAATAAAATAACAAAATGATATCGTTTTGACAGTTTTGAGCTATTTGAGCCACACTTTTTGTGACCCTCTACCATTGCTCTATTTCATTTTGGGTGTGTACCATAATTAATTAGTACACCCAAATCATTCGTCACTAATTTACCTATCAAGGCCACATTGCTTGGCGGTAGTGGCAGTGGTGGTGGTGGTGTCAGAGCTAGTGATGGAAATGGTGTCAACAACGCAGTTCGTACTTGTAGAGCCACCCATCTCGGCTTCTGCCACCGCAACCTCCTCTCTAAACTTCTTATATATGTCTCCCCTATAGAATTTTCTGGTCCTAACCACTAAAATCAGGGAAACCAAACAACCAAACAGTGTCGCTGCGGTAATCACAATAAAAGACATCTTATAACACACAACCCCAATACACGTCAAGTCCTCCCCCGCCGCCCTACTCAACCCCATCGCCGCCATCTGCTTCCTCGCCTCCCGATCATAGATCCGACCGGCCACCACCACATTCAAAATATACGACCCGACCGGACTCGCCACCGCCCCGAAATTATACAGGGTCGAATAGTACTTGAGTCCGAAAATCTCGGATATGATGGCGAACATCAATGGCCATTGAGCTCCGAAACAAAACCCGATGATCACCGACGCGACGTAGAGTGAATTGGGGACTCCGATGGCGATGAGGATGTGGCCGAGGCAAGAGAAGAGGAGGACGAAGGTGAAGATCAATGGGCGAGGGATTTTGTATTTGGTTAAGAAGATTTCGGATCCGAACCCGGCTACGACCCGACCCAGATAGTTCCATATGCTGACTAGAGAGACGAATGTGGTGGTTGAGGTGGTTGGGTATCCGAGAGATTTTCCGATCTGACCCAGATTGTCGATCGCCGTCAAAGTTCCTCCGACGCCGCAAGTGGTGGCGATGAAGAGAACCACCATGTCTATGCTAAACAGGGCTTGTAAAATGGAGTAGTCTTCGCCTCTGTTCGGTGGATTGAACACATTTCTCAAACATGAATTGGGTTTTGAAGAATCACCATTAATGGTTGCTTTTGGTTGTGGGTTTTCAGCAACTACTTGGATATGAGAAGAATTGTTCATATCTTGTTGGCTCTTGTTCTTCCATAGATTCATTTCTTCGCTTATTACAATACCAAGAGGTGCAAAAAGGAGAGCAGTCACAACAACAGCGGTTACACCGTACTCGATTCTCGAGAAATGGAGTCTGTTTTGGAGAATAATTACAAGCATGAGAAACCCCGCCAACCCGAGCGAAATATAAAGAATATTGTAAAAAATCTTGACCTCGTTCGCTTGTCGAACAACCTTCATAATCCGAATCGTTCTTAAAAAAATTAACGAAACCGCTGCGGGTAACCAGCCAATCAGTAAAATCAGAGACTTAGAATTGTCTCCATAAAAAGCATGGTATAATTGAGTTATGATAGCACCGCTTAACCCAACAAACCCTTTTAAGAGCCCTAAAACCATACCTCGGCTTTCCGGGAAGTTTTTAACGCAAGTTACCAAAGCACCAGTGTTTGCGAAGGATTGGGAATTCGCACCGATGCAGATGTACAGACACATCTGCCAAACACGGGGTTTGGCGACTTTTCCAGTGACGGAGAGCCATATCATGAAGTAGCCGGAGAAGTTCATGGTGGCGCCGATGAAGAGGACGACCCACGGTGGCGTGACCTCGTTGATGAGGCCTGATAAGACGCCTACGTTGCCACCTAAGTCCTTGAAGAAGCTGAGCAAGTTGAGGGTGGTTTGGTCGTAGCCGAGGGATGATTTTATGTCGCTGGAGTAGAGGCCGAACATGTAGGTTGCACCGGCAACTGACATGATTAGGAAGGAGGCGAAGACCATGAACCACCGGCCGGTGAGGATGTGGAGGCTGAAGTTCTTCATATTTCCACCACCACCACCACCCCCACCCGTACTGACGTTGGCCACCACCATGTTTTTGGATCAATATGATCCAAGTGTTAAGAAATTATTTAGTAAGTCTGTCCTATATCTTACGCAGTGTCCTATAATAGGTAGAGAGTTTGGGGTTGGGTGATGGATTGTGAGGAAGTCCTCAAAGTGCCTATTTATATAGTGTGGATATGGAGAAAAATTTGGATATTTTGGGTTGGAAGGGCGGTGGTGTCTTACATGGTAGGCATGAGGTACTTTGTTTTTAAATCTTTTGATTATGTTATGTTACCTCTTTATTTTATTAGCAATGATAGGTATTATGAAAAAAATTTCATGAAAATAATTATAAAAACTCTGTGATTCTTGAATTACACTTAGAATAAAACACCACACACTAATTAAGGTAATCTAAGGATCATAAATTTTACATGATCATTTTCATGAAAAAAATTTCATGATTCCTAATTTTTTCCTTATTTTATTAATTTTTTTTTTTATTTATGATGTGGTTTTTTATTTAATATGATAGTTTTAAAATAATGAATCATACAAATACACATAACTTTTAAGAGATGGCTATATTCATAGGAAATAAAGAGAATATGAAAATTAGATAGTAAAAAGTATTTCTCAAATCTTTTTTTTTCCCTTAAAATATTTCAATGTTGTTAGCTTATGCCACCATTATATATTTAACGATTCAGTGATTGTAAGTATTTTGAAACAGAGAGATAAGAAAAATTGGACATGAAGACCCTTTATCTCACCAAAATATTTTTAATAATTTTTAATTGTGAGTATTTTGAAATGAGGTAACAAACATTTGGAAACAAAGGTTCTTAAAGTTCATGTTTAGTTTGATTTTTAGAGTTTTTTTTTTAAAAAAAAAATTAAATTACTTTCATAAAAAAATAAAAAAAATAAAAACTCAAAAGCATCTATCATTTTTATGTAATTTCATCTTTTTGAAGAGAAGAAATAATTTAAAAAAATATATATTTGATATTTATTTTTATCAAATTAGTTTTATTTTTCAAAAAATAGTTTTAGAATATCAAACTAAACATGGTCTATCTGTTAAAATTATCTTACTTCAAAATTTTTAATGATGCGGAATGGACAGTGAGATCTTAAACAAAAAATAATTTCACAGTGTGAAACATGTGGAAAATTATATGATATAAGAGAAAATGACAAGCATGTCTTTATGCAATTATTCTCATCGATGCTACACGGATTCAATACTAGTTGCAAACATGTGCAATGCAATTTAAAAGTGAGAAAACCATGCAAAATATATGTTGAGTTTTTTGTTTTTTTCTTTCTTAAAAAAAAGAAAAAAAGAAAAAAAATATATGTAGCCCATACACATGGTCAGGTGGGCATCGATCAGACCTGACAGAGATTTTGGTTGAAATTACGCTACATAACATAAGAGTATATGAGTGTTGTTATAAATTCAATATGCCACATCAAATTTAATTTGATCATTTCATATTTGTCCTTCAAATATATTATAAATCTCAAATCCATCTAATTAACCTGATATGTCGTCGTTGTTGTTGTTTTTTTTTTTTTTTTTTGTGTGTGTAGCTTTTTATTTATGCTTATTTTCATTTTTTGATGAAAAATTTAAAACTTTAAGTTAAATTTGTTTTTAAGTTTGTCTAGACTAAATAATACTAAAAAAAAAAAATACAGAAAAGCACTAAAGGATAAAATAAGTAGATTTCAATAGTTTTTTTTATTTATTTATTATTATTACATGGTTGTTTCTCTAGTGGACTTTTTTACGAATAAATAAATTGTAGACTGTTACAAATTTTAAGCTCGCCTAAACAATCTTAAAAAATATAATACATTTTAATTAAAATTTACTAAGGTCTCGTTTGGGAACAGACTAATTTAGACTTTTTGACTATTTGGCCAAAATATGAGCTAAAAAAAATTAGTATGTTTACGATGACTTTTTGTATTTATTATTATTACATGGTTGTTTCTCTAGTGGACCTTTTTACGAATAAATAAATTGTAGACTTACAAATTTTAAGCTCGCCTAAACAATCTTAAAAAATATAATACATTTTAATTAAAATTTACTAAGGTCTCGTTTGGGAACAGACTAATTTAGACTTTTTGACTATTTGGCCAAAATATGAGCTAAAAAAAATTAGTATGTTTACGATGACTTTTTGACTTTTTATGAAAAGATGTGTAAAAAATAAATAGAAAAAGAGAATCTTTGATTTTTTGATATGAATTGTTGGTTTTTGACCTTTTTAGTAATTTTTTGACTAAACTAACATGTTGCCAAACGATATATAAAATTAAATAAATAAACTTGGAGTTAAACAAACCCAAGAGTCACAATAAAAATGAAGCATACTAAACGAAATTTGATATCAGGCCTACTAACACCAACCTTTAGAATATTCTAGTACTAAAAAGTAGGTGGTTTTTGCTAGATCACAATTTATGCATAACAATAAAAATAGGAACAACATCTAATAGATTATTCTGTTGAAAGTGGTTGTTTCGCAGAAATTTTGCATTTTAGGAGGAGATTAGAGTTCAATTTTACCCACCCAAAAAAGAGTTCATTTTTTTTTTTCAAACTCGTAAATTAGACTTATTATTCTTGGATTTGTTAAAGTTTCTTTCTCGCTTGAAAAGTTATATATACTATATTTTTAGTGTTGTGTTTGTCTGTTTGTTCTTTATTTTTATTTTTTTTGGTGACTTTTTGTTGTTTCTTTTCGTCTTTAGTAAACTTTTTATTAAAAAAAATTAAAAAATTTCACATTTTTTGGTTCTACTCAACTAAATGGATCGAAAAAGTAAAATTAAAGAAAAAATTGAAAAAAATTTCAGAAATGACAAAAAATAAAAATAAATTCCAAAACAGTTGCCTTTTTTTTTTGACTTATTTTGTTTTTTGGGATTTTTTCGATTATTTTTCTTTAGATCATCTATACAAGACGGACTGAAAAAATAAAAAAATATTGACATGAGACAAAAATTTCGAAAAGAAAAGAAGTTACGTTTTTAACTGTATGATTGTGATTGCAATTTATCAGATTTTTGTAATATAATATTAATAAAAAGTGAGTATTGGTACATCTAAGTGAAAGTAATCACTTAAATTGTCCCCAACTTTTGTATTCATGGTCGTACTTCATTCAGCAGAAGGACCTCTCAATATTAGGGGTGGAGAAGTATCCACCCGATCATCAAAATCAAATAGTTTGAACCAATCCATTATACGATAGACAGTTTTAATAGTTCGAGTGGATAAATATAAGTATATATTTTTTAATTTACTTAAGTTCGGATAGATGGATGATGAGAGGCCACTCGACTTTAACTCGATTCGCCAACCCTCTTAAGAAAATGAAATTATATTTTTATGATTTATGTGTTAAAAAAGGATCTTTTATTTTGCAATTATATATATATATATATATATTCTTTTTATGAAATATAAAAATTAGGCCTTTGTTTTTATTATAAAAAATGAACAATAAAAATTTTGAGTGCAAAATAATAAAGAATTGTTGAAAAATGATTCAAAAACAGGTCTGAAACAACAAAGCCTAAATCGCCAAACCAATTCGTATTCACTCACCAACTCACACGGCTTGCTCAATTTGTATCTACCAACTAAGCGGATGGATATAAATTGATTTTTTTAATCTGTTTAAGTTTAGACATATAATAGATGAGAGTTCACTTGATCTAACCTGATCTGTGAGTACTCCTATCCAACATACTGCTCCAAATTTTCATGGGAAGTCTATTTTTCAGGTTGATGTTCATTATTATACTAATATGTCTTCATAGTTTGTTTTTATTTATTTTTTTTAATGGGAAAATGTCTGTATGAGATGGGGCAGACCTATGCAAACGATGAAGTCCAAATAAAAAAAAACTAGGGTCCTAAAATTTGAGATCTAGAAATTATCTAAAAACAGGTACGTCACTACTAAAGAAATGGTCTTTTGAGTCGATTTTTTGAGTCGGCAAATTTTACCGTCGCAAAAGGTAGCCTTTTTGAGACGGCACAGAGTTACCGACTCAAATATCAAACCTTTAGTGTCGGCACCGTTAGCCGACACAAAAAATTAATATTTGATAGTATTATTTGAGTCGGTTGAATTTACCGACGCAAAAGATAGACCTTTTGAGTCGGCATAGACCTTTTGCGTCGGTAAATTTGTGCCGACGCAAAAAATTAGACCTTTTGAGTCGACATAGACCTTTTGCGTCGGCAAATTTGTGCCGACGCAAAAAATTAGACCTTTTTGTGTCGGCAACTGATGCCGTAGCAAAAAAAAAAATTTATAACCAAGATATATATTTATTTACTTGATTATATTTAATAAATATATTTATTTATACATATACTTTTATATTAATATTGAGTGTATATACTATAAATAATATATATCTCGTTTAATATCTGAAAGAGGTGTGGTGGTGAAGTGGGTGTAGTGCGTTGACCTTGGGTCAACTTGTCCAAATGGATGTGTGTTCGAACCTTGGGAGCCTCAGTGAGAAAATTATGAGTTAAATTTTTTAAAACATTTAACCACTTTTTGAGTCGGCAATCTACCGTCTCAAAAAATTAAAACCTTTTGCGTCGGTAGATTGCCGACTCAAAAACTTTTTGCGACCCCACCATTTTCGTCCCTTGAGTTGCCGTCGAAACGCCGTCGCAAAAAGTTTTTGCGTCGGCAAATCCGCTATTTGCGACGGCAAGCTGCCGACTCAAAAGCCCTGCTTTTTAGTAGTGCGTGTAGTGGAAATTGAATTAATGAAATGTGTGATTTAAATATGAAATGAATATGAGTCATTGACGTGAAATTCTGGATAATTTTTGAATTTTTATGTCTGGATCCATAACATTACTGAGTCCAAATATGCCTAGTCGTGAGAGGAAGATTGTACTCGATACGGATAAGAAATGTTGAAAAAAGAAAAAAGAAATTACTAAAGACAAAATAAAGCCTAAAATAGTTGAGTTTTATTTTTTAGGGCAATTATAGAAATGGTCTTTATAGTTTACCCGTGGTTTTATTTTGGTCCCTGCACTTCTAAACGTATCAATTTTGCCACCGCAGTTTGGTTTTGGCTCAAACTGGTCACTGTTGGGATTTTGGACGGA